CCCTCTCTCTCTCTCTCTCTCTCTCTCTCTCTCTTTCCCTGTCCGTCTCTGTCTTTTGCGGATTTGTGCACGCTGAATAATTCATAAAAGCACGCGCTCACGCCCGCGTCAACGTTAGCCCCGGTTCGCGCGGCTAACGAAGTGCTATACGCTAAGCGTTGTAATTTCTCGCGCACTTAACTCTCCAACAGTCATATTCGCCTGCGCGAGATGACCGTTTTAATCCTTTTTTATCGATCTGATCAAAGGAGTCAACGTATCAAATTTGGCAGTGTGTATTTTAATTATCGTTTCTTTCCTCCTTGCGACTCGCATATCTTGTATTGATTTCGCGAAATGGAATCTTGCGCTGATTTCATGATAGCAATGTCCCTTTGCTATGTTATGTATCTATGTTAGTGTGCGAGCGCATCACCGAGCAATTTGGTCTGACGCGCGCGCGTATTACGGAGATGAGGTGAGGTGAGGTGAGGATACCGCCGACAGCCTTGACCTTGTCTCCATTAACACGCACGGCTCTCTACGCACGGCCGTCGAGATATATTATTACGTAAACTTTACCGATTTGGTCCGACCTGACGTAACTCGAGCTCAATTAACCCTTTAGGCAACAACGCGTTTCCAACTGGGAACGTTATTTTTGATCGGTTCCTGAAACGTCAGAATGTGCTACAAGTTCGCCTCGAAAGGTAACAAAATTGGCGATCGTGGACGGTTAAGTTGCAGAGAGTTGACAATACCGGATTTCTTAGATGTGAGAGAGTGTCAGCTTGTCTCTCATTAGATTAGATCGCTATGCGAGAACAAAACACGGTTGCATCGTAGACGCATTATCGATAAACCCGCGCGACTCGCGGACATTGAAAAGTTGTTAATTTGCTAATTAAATTGTGACAAGATAAACAACTGGCGAGCAAGCATAATTTATCTACTTGCACAGCTGCGGCCTCCCGACAGCCAACAACGTCCATCATTCGCAATGCATACCAACACATTTTTACAAGTGATTCTCCGGAATGATAGTTCCGGAAATATCAATTCCGATCGAATCGTTTTGCGGTAAAACGTCGATAATTGAGCGCCACTTTCTCGCCAAGAACCTCAATTATATTCTTCCTCATTTCGTTGATACAATATAATCTTTTTTTGGAGCATCTTATTTTCAGCAATATTTGATAAGGAAGGGAGGAAGAGAGAGGCAGAGAGAGAGAGAGAGAGAGAGAGAGAGAGAGAGAGAGAACTATTTAGCTATTTAAACAGTGTTTCTTTAGAAATTACCTGTTATTTATAAAACATGATTTAAAACACTTTAACGATTACACATGATACTTTTTTTATTGTAGATACTAAAGGAACGATGGAATCTGTGGAATCGTTACACGGCATTGGTAGAAACGATTCAAAAAGGATGAGATGTAGTGAATATATCGCATCATACATGCGTATGTATTGCACACACACATACGTGTGTTATCAACGCTTGCGTTCTATTAGTACCACGAGCTCTATTAGTCGCGAGATAAGTATCACGCTACGCTAACACATTCTCGTCTTTAAAGCCGAAAATTATCCTCGCATGTTGCATCGAAACATTACGCAGTTATTCAATATATGTTTCGTGATATCAAATCAATTGCTTTTATTCTACGCAGAATATTTTTGAGAGTGAGACAGAGAGAGAGAGAGAGAGAGAGAGAGAGAGAGAGAGAGAGAGA